TTTTTTAATTTAAAATTCATACAACTTCCGAATGCGGGATTTCGCTGTAACATTCTACTTTGCGCCTCGGTCTGGCGCTTTTCGCTTTACCTTTTGTACGAAAAACTGCGATCTGCGTACGGATTTTGCAACATAACGCGACAAAATCTTCGGATTTCACGAAAACGCACTGAGGACCTTCCGAGCACTGTTTTTATCACTTTGACCATGCTAACCCCCGCTCCCTGGTTTTCTCGTAACTGCCAGGCCTTATTTGTACCGATTAAAACCCTGCAAACTGTCGAATAGTGCAATCTTTAATTTTTTAGCAATTTTACGTGTACTTAAGGCCGGATCATTTATAAACTCGTGCAAAATGGTTTGTCTCGTTTCTAACTCGGTTGCCATTTTTAACTCAACTAGGAATCAAATTCAAATGAAATTTCTTCTACGTCCAACTAAGGTCATGTGGTCGGCTTATGGTATTTGAATTTTAAAATATTGAATTCGTTTTGGGTAAGTTATAAGCTTCCCAAAGTGTCGTAGTTTTGGTGTGTTCACCCTTTATTACGTAGCTCGAACGCACCCAATGTAGTAAAACTACATTTTTGTAATAACAACAGTCTTATTTATTTTTATAGAATTTTGTAAGTATTAACTTGGAGTAAATTAGCGTCCTCAATTACTGAAATATCGGAGTTTTCGTTTTTTCAACGCATTGCTTTTCCATACCAAGTGCACCGAGTTTGGTACAAATTGATAAATCGGTCACCGAGATATACATTTATGGTCAAAAGTGCGCGGCGCCACGTCCATTATCCAAAAAATTATAAGAGTTTTAATTAATGCCAAGAGGTTATTCCAATAATCGATTTAGAGTGAATTAGCTTCAGTAGTTATTGATTTATCGCAGTTTTAGCGTTTCTGTAAATTACCGTTATATGGGAAGTGGGCGTGGTTATCGCCCGATTTCAAGAATTTTTAGCAGTTATGTTAGATATAGCCTAAGCTCATACCGAGTTTGGTACGGATTAGTGAAGCGGATACTGAGATAAAACATTTCATCATAAGTGGGCGGGGCCACACCCGTTTTCTAAAACTTTAATAATAATCCTATTTTGTTCCAAAATTTTACTTTACATACTAA